TGTTTTTCAATTGATCCCTATGAAACACTGAGAAAATTATAATACCCACATGTCAAAGGTCACTTCACTTACTGCACACTGTATACCCATTTTTCTCATTCCAGATTCCACATGATAAAATTACCAAGTAAAATGTTCCACATCTTTACCTCTGAAAAAGTTTCATTCATAACACAAATTATTTCAACACAAACTCATTAAGATGTCTACATGTTAATATCAAATGCATTATCAACCTTTATGTTTCAATATGTTTTTTTATTTCCTTAGGGTTTTAATAGGAAGATTCTTTTTTTTACTGACAGATATGCATCTCCTAAAAGTTACCTTTTCTTTCTGATTTATAACTACATGAGACACATTCCAGAGGTTTCCTGCTTTCAACCATTTGGATATTATTGTGAATGAATAACATTTATTTTCCACGTGCATTTTCTGAATTGTGTGAGCTGATATTTGGAATTTTTGCGTGGATTTTTGGAATTAGATAAATCAATAATTTTTAAAAGATTTTATTTATTTATTTTTAGAGAGGGAAGGGAGAGAGAGAGAAACATCAATGTGCGGTTGCTGGGGGCTGTGGCCTGCAACCCAGGCATGTGACCTGACTGGGAATCGAACCTGTGACACTTTGGTTCACAGCCCACGCTCAATCCACTGACCTACATCAGCCAGGGCAGATAAATCAATAATTTTGTTACATCTTGTTTTCTATATCAAGATGGGGAAGCAGACTCCCATAATTTCCTAGTTTTGCTGCTTACAAAATCCTACAACTTGGGGTAACTTCTCTGTCCCTCAGAGTTTGAAAAACTGTAACTGTGGGCTTCCTTCATTAGCAGCATTGATAAGTAGTGCATGGAAGTTGTGTACTGGGGTAAAAATCACATGATTAGCCATCCATCCACAAAATCTTGCCAGTATTTCCAGAGTTTGTCCAAAAGGAGAAGAAGATGGTGCCTGTCCCTTCTGGGCCCCTGACCTGACCTCTGACCCCATATTCTAAGGCCCAAAGTCCCAGTCCCCCTTCTCCTCTGCCCCTTCCCTACATCCCACAGAGGAGACTTCATTCCCCACTGAAGACCAGACTAGACCATCCTTCTGGGGATCTGCCTCCTTATGACCTGTTCATTTCAAGTCTCTTTCTCAATCTTTCTTCCTGTCTCTATTTCCGTACATGCACACATAATATATATCGGTGCTATACAAATATATGTAGGCATAGATGATGATATATAACTTAGTATTTATGTAAGAGTGGATATGTGTGTAACTATATATACAGATTCATTTTATAGGACATTTTATAACATACTCCATAAAATGTACATATACAAGTATGGGCAAAAGTAGGTTTAAAGATATTTGTACAGAGTATAATACAACAATTAATACTAATATCACAATAAATAACTCTGCATTTCAGGAATTCATAACTTAAAACCCTGTATTTTCTTTAATATTGATATTAAATTTATGCATCTACAATATACCTACAAATATTCACGTACATGCCCATATTTTCATCTGGTCACTATATCTACCATGGTAGGTTTTGTCATTATATAAAATGAACCAATGAAACAATAAATAGACAAAAATGTCCAGGTGATGATTAAACCCCAGAGAGTGGGGTGAAGGAGACGCTGCCCCAGACTTTCACCCCTTTGTGTGCCTGCCACTCAGGAGCCCCTGAAACCACATCTCCTCTATGGACCAGGGCCCCCACAGGTGGAAAACGCCAGATCTCTCAGCTTCAGGGCAGTAAGTTCCTGGGTCTTCAGTCTCAGACAGAAGCCAGAATACACAGCAGCTCTAAATTGTTCCTGAATTGAGACAATTTTTCCCTAATCCTGAGTTCTTGGGCAGAGGTCACTCTCATCATGGCAGCTGGATTCAGTGGGAGGCAGAGCTGGATTCAGAAGACCCAGGGACACTGACATCAAGGGGAGAGGAGAGCCTGGGGGGACATCAGAGTCCTGGAGATTTGGGGTTGCCTGACCACGCTTACCTCTGTCTCCACATTTTGCAGCCTTCCAACTCCAAGACTACACAGTGGAGAACCTGGTCCGCATGGGTGTGGCTGGCTTGGTCCTGGTGGTGCTTGGGGTGCTGCTGTTTCAGGCTCGAGACCACGAGATAATGGCCCATATTGCAGACAGGATGTGAACACAGAGGGGACAGGGGACCATTCAGAGTGGAGGAGCCGTGAAGCCCATCTGATGACCCAGGAGGTGGGGAAGGACAGCTGGACCACAGGCGGAAACTGTCTGCTGATTTGACTGGGAGGACAGAGGTGGCAGATGAAGTTTGGGGACAGGACACGTGAGCCGTGTTCCTGTGGAGATGCCTCCTCCTTCCCACTTTGGGGCTGTCCCTCCTCATCCTCACTGACTCCCCTTGACTGTCCCTCTGTTCTCACCACTGTGACATGAGAGGCCACCCACATGGCTGATTTGGGTTCACATCTACACACCCCTTCATGCTGGATCCCATTCATTTAAACAAATGTGGTGTCTTCATAACCTGGGAGGGTTTTTTAAGCCATAAAAACAAAGTACCAACATCTGTCACCTGGTGAGTAAACATCAACATCCTGCAGCTGAGTGACAGAAGCCACAGAGAAAAGATCACATTTTCTGTGACTGCGTTTGTATGAAGCGTCCAGGAGGAGGAAACCCACAGAGACAGAAGTCAGGTGGGCTTGCCGGGGGCTGATGCGGAGGAGAGATGGGAGACTGACGGTTTAGTGGGTATTTGAGTGTGGGGATCCACAATACAATACAATATTGCTATTAAAACCAGATAAAATTGTGGTTTAGACATTGTATATTTACTACATTTCAGTGAATTCTATATTTTAAAATGGTAAGTTCTATGTTACAGGAACTTATGTCATTAAAACCAAATGTAATGAAAATTGCTATGGTTCCCTGTGGTTCATTTTTGACTTACAAGTGGCCCCCTGTCCTCGGGCAGTTTCATGAGAGACAGGACTCCCATCAGGTCCGAGATGCCCTCAGTGGCCAGTGCTCAGGCTCAGCCTTGGTGGGATTCCCACCCTCACTCCTGAGTGTGATGAGTCCAGGATCCAGGATGAGCAGTGTCCTTCTTGTCTCCTCTCTGTCTGGACTCACCTGCCATTCAGCCCCGGATGTCCTGTAGCTTCTGATGCCCCCGAAGGTTTGGGGGTGATACATATGCTGCTTCCGAGTAGCCCTTCCTCCCACAAGTCTCTCATGTCCATGTCTTAATCAGGCCCAGAAATGACACAGATGGAGCCTCTTTGTGTCTCAGGCTCCGCTGATTCTCACAACACCCGTGAGAGCTGAGCTTCCACCCTTGTCTGCAATGAGGGAAAAGGGAGAGAGGAAGGGAATGGCTCAGAACAGATGGTCAGTAACGTTTCCTCTTGTCTTAGATTAAAACCTGTGAATTGTCTGCAACTGGTGCTTCTGTCAGGCACCTGGAGAGGTAGTGACAAGTGTCAGATGCAGGGTCACTCCTCACAGAGCAGGGCAGTGAGGAGGCTGACATGCTGAAGAGCCTGGGTGGGAGAGATGGAGAGAAGGTCTCCTGCTCACAGAGATGAGGAAGTCAGAAAGAGGAAGTGACAGGGAGAGACCAAACCACACTCCAGTCTAGGAGAGTAAGTAGCTCTTGCAGTGGATCAGATGACCATGTTGTAATCCTCTCCCCTACCTCAAGCCCTCAGTGGGGTGCTCAGTCCTGGGACAGTGCCATCAGCTCCCCAGGCCACCCAGGTGAAGCACAAATGTAGCCTCCGCTCTTACCCCCACATGATGAACACACCCACAGCTCTGACCCTGAGCCTCTCTTTGTGAGACCCAGTTCCTCTCCACAGTCACACTCAGGTGAAAACCCAGGACATCATGTGGGTGCAACCTTATCAGCCTCCTCTCTGGCCTCCTGGGGATTCTCATTCCCAATTGAGGGTTTTACTCTGGTTCACCTGAACTTACCTGTTATGGACCCTCCCTGCACAAAGCCTTTCCCCATGGTGGAGACATCCAAGGAACTCCACCTAATGCTCCATGTTGTTGGAGATCAGGCTGAGCTAACCTCTCCATCCCAAGCAGAGATAACTGGTCCCTACAAAGCAGACCCTTCCCAGTGCCCAACTCCCCTCCCCAGACTCACACACCTGGGTCATGGCCACACTAGGCTTGTCATGGGCGTCCCCTGAGCCCATCAGAACTGAGTGGACTCTGCACACTTCCTAGGCTGAGATAATGACAAAGAAATGTGCCTGCCTTTTCTTACTCAGCTTCAATCAAACTTGTGCTATGGGATTTGTGTTGGGTTTCATGAGAAATTCTCATAAACCACAGAGAGTACTGAGCAACTCATTACCTCGGTGTTACACTAGTGCTGGAGTTTTATCACAGTTTATCATCCATTCCCCACTACTACAGCCAATTCCCACAGAATGTCATCTTCTCAAAGCAGCAACTGCTCACACCTTCCTTTACTGAAAAGTGTTCCATTACCTGAAAGATCACACCCAGGAGTCCCTGCAGGGAGCAGAGGCCCCGGGGGACCAGGGCCCAGCACAGCCTGGTCACTCACAACTCTCAGAATAATCACCCTCTTCCTGATCAAGAGTCCTCTCAACCCCCAGTGCTGACTCCTAGTGTGTCCTGGACCCTCCCTCACCTGCAGGTCCTCACACTCCATGACACCCACCTGTATGGAGTCTCTCTGTGCTCCATTTACTCCTTCTCTGAAACTTACCAAAACGAACCCCCACATCATTCATTGCCTACACATTTTGTACTGTCTGATGTCGCTAACCAGCACTGCATGTGTCCAGGGGAGGAGTCAGTCACCTTCCCCAATAAACTTCGTGCATGGACTGGGCACCTGCTCAGGAAATATTCGCCATTTTCTGGGTTGGAGAAAAGCCGAAAGTAACTTTCATTTATGTTGTCTCAGGAAAAGGAAGTGAATTGCCCACAGTTACGTGGGTTGCAAAACAGGCAGAGTCAGGATGCAACAGAAACTGGGCAGCTCCTGAGTCCTGCCTCTCATCCTCTGCCCTCATGTTCTGGGACAGGGGTCACCCTTTGGATTTGGGCATCACATCAGGTGGAGGCAGCACCTTTGGGGTCTGCTGAGACTGAGATCTGGTCTGAAAGGTGCCAGAACCTGCTGTCTCCTCCACCACCCCTCAGGGAGGACAGGTTGCAGCTGAGGAAGAAACTGTGACTTCTCACACAGAGATGGGACCTTGGTACAGCCTGTGTGTCTGTCTGTCCTGCAGGGCTCAGGGACATTTTATGTCATCTGAACCCTTGGGAACCCTAGCAGACAGCGTTATGACCCTGGCCTTCATTTCTCTTCTTTGTCTCGGTGAGTTCTGGGGAAAACAGAAGGATGGGGTCTTCTTCACTCCCAGATCTAGGACTCAGGAAGGCCAGTGGGGGAAGAAATCCTAAGGAGAGAAGATTTCAGCTCAGCAGGGTTCCAGACCAGGCCTGGAGCTTCTGTGTGGGCATTGAGGATAACTCACAGGACTCTCTTCCAGGGCTGTGTCAGGGCCCTTGGGACCAGGTCCAGGCAGGTGAGTCCTCCCCCAGAGCTCCTGCTTCAGCACAATGATACCCCTGGGCAGCTGGGGGACACACAGTAGGTCTGGGCTGGTGGTGAACAGTGTGGGAGGAGCCTTGGAGTGACAGATGGGGAAACTGAGGGGACAAGGACCCTCCTGACCCTCCATCTGGGCTGACCCAGGCCCCAGGGTCAGACATGGGAGCCCTGTGACCATCTGGTGTCAGTGGTCTCTGCAGGGGAATGCCTACATTCTGTATACAGACAGGGGCTCTCAACCCTTGGAAAGGAGGATCCCACAGGACTGCAGCAACAAGACCAAATTCCTCATTCAGTCCATGAGCTCATAGCACACAGGGCTGTACCAGTGTGCATACAGCACTGGGGGCACACTGTCTGAGAGGAGTGAGCCTCTGCTCCTGGTGGTGACAAATAAGGGTGAACCTGGGTCTCCTCTGTAGTGTGGGCTCCTCTCAGAGGATGAAGGGGACAGAGTGCAGTTTTAGGGGGGCCACACCCTTCACAGCCCACTCCTGGGGAATGTGGGGTGATGGTCCCCTTTAATTGAGATCCTCCTTCTCCCTCAGGAGTGGACAGCACACCCTCCCTCTCAGCCGACCCAGGCCCAGTAGTGGCCTCAGGAAGGAGAGTGTCCCTCTTGTGCAGCTCACAGACCACATGGGACACTTTCCACCTGCTGAAGGAGGGAGGGGCTGTGCCGCCGCAACACAGGAAATCAGAACAGAAGTACTATGCTAGGAGATGGCGGCAGGTGGCCATCTTCCCCATGGGCCATGTGAACACCTCCCATGGGGGGACCTACAGATGCTATGGTTCCAACAGCTCCAACTCCAATGAGCGGTCACAGCTTAGTGCCCCTCTGCACCTCGAGATCACAGGTGAGGAGGCTCACAATTGGCTTCAATTACTTCCTAGGCCCCAAGCAATTGATCTTACCTTGTGCTTAGTAAAACACTGGGAGATGTGGGGGTCAATGACAGGGGTTTAGTGGGGACACAACCACAGGCAGGAGACTTATGGAGGGACAAGTGAGGGCTCTCCCTGCAGCCCCAGTGGGTGGTGAGTATGTGTGCCCCTGAGTTAAAATGACCTTCTCCCCAGGTGTGTACAGGGAGCCCTCACTCTCAGCCAAGCCAGGGCCCCTGGTGCTGCCAGGAGACAACCTGACCTTCCAGTGTCGCTCTGAGGCTGGATTTGACAGATTTGCTCTGATAAAGGATGAAGGGCCCACACCCCCCCAGCATCTCCATGGGCAGCACAGCTCTGACTTCCCCCTGGGCCCTGTGAACCTCTCCCATGGGGGCTGGTACTGGTGCTACAGTGGTCACAACCTCTCCTATGTGTGGTCGGCCCCCAGCGCCCCCCTGGAAATCCTGATTGCAGGTGAGGAGCCCTGCCCTGCCCCCTGTCCTGACTCTCTGCCTTGGGGCTCTGTCCCCCGGGGTCACCTTGGTGGTGATGGGCTCCAGAATAGAGTCCTGAAATAGAGGCTGAGAGGACTGAAGTTTTGGGGAGAGAAGAAGGGATGGGCATGGAGATGAAAGTTGCCCACCAGAGGGACTGAGAGGAGCTGAGAGGGGTCACAGACAGTGTCCCTGGGGAAGGACATGGTCCCTCAGCTCAGGGTCAAGGGTATGGGGGGAGGGGTGTCCCTGTGCACATCACAGCCCTCCTCTCCCCAGGAATGTACAGGAAACCCTTTCTCTCGGCCCAGCCTGGGCCCTCAGTGCCCTGGGGAGCCAACGTGACCCTGCAGTGTCGATCTGAGGTCAGGGCTGACACCTTCCACCTGCACAGGGAGGGGTCCCTGTATCCTCCTCAGCAGCTTCGTCTGCAGGATATGGCTGTCCCCTTTGAGGCCTACTTCACCATCAGCCCGGTGACCTTGGGCCACAATGGGACCTACAGGTGCTACATCTCACGCAGCTCCTCCCCCTTCCAGCTGTCACAGTCCAGTGACCCCCTGGAGCTCCTGGTCTCAGGTGAGGGACTCCCACCCCATGTCCATTGAGGGAGCAGACTCTGTCGCAGGACAGCTCTGGGCTGGGATGGGAAGGAGGGTGAAACAGTGAGGTCATCAATATGGCAAATCCCACCCCATGAAGAGATGGAGAAGATGGGAGATCCCCCATCCTCTCCATGCCTCACTCCACCTGAGGGTCCATCCAGTGCTGGTGTGTGCAGGGAGGAGACTGAAGTGTGTGAGGGACAACATTTGCGGGACATCTATTGGACTACAGGAGTGATGTAAGAGGCAGGCACACCCACAGCCTCCCCTGGTTCCTGTGTCATGCAGCAGCTTAGGTCTGCAGATGCTTCTACACATGGACAAACTTCATGTCTGTTGAGTAACAGAGTCCCCTTAGCCTAGAGGAAACACAGACTCCACCAGGCTTCTGCTACTTTCTCACTTTATACTTCAACACATCAAATACATCCAGGAGGCCTTGTTTCCTAAAGTCCTAGGGATAAAAGTGGAGACATTAGGAAGGGGCCTCATGTCTCAATAGGCAGTGAGGACACTGAGTCCCATGTGGTCAGTGGGGAGGAAATACATGAAGGGGAAGATGCTCAGCTCAGGTGGGGAGGAAAGGACAGGAGCCATACCTGCCTCTGTCTATGTTGCTGATTCTAGGCCTGTGAGTTGTCCTGGTTCCTGTGGAATAAATCCCACATAGGAGATGGAGTCAGGGAGGCCTCACCTTTATGGGTCAGGGTGATGGAGATCCTCTGACAGTCTAACCTGAAGTGGAGTTGGTTCAGCCCCCTTGAAGTGAATCCCAGTGACAAACTCCCACCTGTATCTGGGACTCGGATCTCCCATCTATCAGAGCAGAATCCAGTACAGGCTTTGAAAAACCTCAGATAGTTTACAACTTTGATGGCAGAGAATCTCTGTGGGAGAAGAACATGAATCCACTTTGAGCTTGTCCTGTCTTCATGGGGGACCACTGTCATTACGTGGGTGTGGGAGGATGAGAGGATTTCTGCTCTGTTTCCATGACACCAAGTGGTCAGCTGGGTGAGGTCATCTTCCAAAACACCTCCCATCAGAACTCCTGTCTGTGTCCCTGACCCCCTCCCAGAGTTTCCAGGGATTTCTCTGAATTTCATTTTCAGTTTAGCAGAGCCTGTCTTACATCACTACATATCTGTATTTTTGTCCAGGTGTTTATCTAAACATTTTATTCTGTCGTGTATTCTTCCTGCCTGTTTCTTATCAGTCTCATTATCTAGGATACAAATCAATAAATGCTTAGGTTTGGTAAGTGTGGTAATCCTTGGTCCCAGAAAGGTTGCACGGTGTATTGTATATATTCCATCATTTATTTTGTAAAGAAGAGATTGATAAAAGAAACAAAAGTGATGTGAAAATATATAATCCTAGTCAGAGACACAAAGCAGGAGCTGAGTGGAGGAACTGAAAGGTAGGCCCAACCCTTCACTTCCTCATGTTTGTGACCTGAAGAAAAAACTAAGGCCCCAAATGTCACCTTGGCATCCTAATTTCATGCAGACAAGGGGCCAAGATGCTCATCTCAAGGGAGGCAGTGGGAATGGCTAGTGACAGGGACTCAATGGAGATGAGAGAAGAGAGGACTGAGGTATTCCCACACCTGCTCTTCCACACCCTACGTGTCATTGATTCCCAGCAGCAGCTAACAGCCTGGGACTGTCACAGAATGAGCCAGACTCCCAGAGTGGTGAGGAAGGCCTAATCCCCAGTTATAGGGCTCAGGGCAGAGGGTCAGTGCAGTCAATGCAAGTTGGGTGACTTGGACAGACATCCAGGGATCCTGGGGTGACTTATCATTACTATGACTTCTGTGACCTCTTTGTCCTCAATGTCTAGGCTCAAACACCCAAGACTACACAGTGGGGAACCTCATCAGATTGGGTGTGTCTGGCTTGGTCCTCATGGTCCTCGGGGTGCTGCTGTGTGAAGCTTGGCACAGTCAGAGAAGACCTCACAATGCAGCCAGCAGCTGAACACAAGGGACAACAAACCCACCAGTCAGTGAGGTGGAACCTGGTGAAGAGTCTGATGAGCCCAAGAAGCTCTGGAGGAAACTGTGGGCACCTGTGGGAAAGAGTCTGCTGAGAATGTGGAGGGTATGGGTGTGGTTCCCATGCAGGGAGAGGTGGGGCTGCTGCTGCAGAGGCTTCTCCACAGTTAGACTGTGGGTGTCTCACCTCACTTCACTTCTCCGTTTCCTTGACTGGCCCCTCTGTTGTCAACCCCGTGACCTGGAGCTCAGCCCACATCACAGGTTCAGACCCACACCTGGGCTCACCCTCCATGTTTGGTCCAATTTCATGTAGGACATTTTTCTCATTTTTATTCTCCACATTCATTCATTTTGCATCTCTTTTGGTCAGATTGGTCAGATGCAGATATCTTTTTTAAACAACTGAATAAATGGATAAATATCAAAAATAGTTTGGCTGGGGCACTGGCATGGTTCAGTGGGTTTGTGGCATTTGCCTAATTCCTGGGTGTAAATGCTCCTTGAGCGGTGGGTAGAGGACACCCACCTCCACCCTGGTGCAAGTAAGTGTCTTTCTCCTCCTCTATCAACCTCACCCAGGCTGGTGTCCCAACCTCGCACCCTTCAGGGCTAGTGGGTTCCAGTGACCTGCGGGGATTACTTCACCTGGACCTGCTCAGGGCAGTCTCTGGGGGCTCAAGGTGCCCTGGGGGAAGGCCTGCCCAGAGCAGCCCCACCCTGTCCACAAGCCTGGGTTGGAGCAGGATGTCTCACCCCAAGCCATAACTAGTGCAGTGACACCCCTGCTGGCAACTAGGATCCTGGCGGACCTGCGAGGTGGGCAGCAGAGGCCCGGGGAGATGCCGCGCCATCTTCCCCCCACCCCCGCCCTCTTGGCCCCCGTGCTCCTGCACCAGGTCCTGGTCCTAGGGCTGCGCCACCGCTGCCAAGGGCCATGGTGCTTCTTTCCTGGGCTGCCCCAAAGCTCCTTCTAGTCCTTATCCCTCATGTTGCCCTGCAAACGCACACCGGTGAGTGCCCTGTGCCTGCAATGCTCCAAGCTGTGCTTACAAGTTCGTGGGCTGGGAGGAACTGCCAGCCACCACAAGAAACACAGGGGCAGAAGCATTTCCCCTTTCCTTTCTGCTCCAAGTGCTTCACCCTCAATGACTCCCCATCCAAACTAGCATGCCACCATGCCATTTCCCCTGTAACTCCTCCTGGAGCCCTAGGCCCATCAAGCGCCTAGCCCAGCAGTCTGGCGGGAGCTCACCAAACAGCCCGAGCTGACCCTCAGATAGACCCCTGGTGGCTCCCAGCACCCCTTGCAGCCCACCCAGAGCACCAGCAACACTCCTGTTGTCCTGGCTGCCTTCTAGCGATCCCCTGAAGACCCTGAGATGCCTCTGATAACCTCAAGAGTACAAGAAAGAGGCCTGAGACTGGACTGAGGTCAGCTGGACCTTGGAGATGGCCGTCCGGCATGGTTGGCTGGGGCCCGTGTCTATAAAGCCATAACTCATTAAAGAAAGAAAGAAAGAAAGAAAGAAAGAAAGAAAGAAAGAAAGAAAGAAAGAAGGAAGGAAGGAAGGAAGGAAGGAAGGAAGGAAGGAAGGAAGGAAGGAAGGAAGGAAGGAAGGAAGGAAGGAAGGAAGGAAGGAAGGAAGGAAGGAAGGAAGAAAAGAGAAAGTTTACTTACAACTGGCCAGAAACATTGAAAGGTGAGGACCAGACCTACAACCTGAGATCCTGCCACAAGAGGGAGGCAGAAGCACGAAGCCTGTCCATCCACACAAGGTCCCAGAGCTCCAGAACACATGCAAGACCAATAGAAACCATCTCTCACCTGGGGCAGCTGGTCAAAGTTGCAGGAGGTGATTGCGACATCAGATACAAAAAGAGAACACAGCATTCCAAAGTACATGAAGAATCAGAATCTCTGCCATCACAAAAGATCACAGTGACAGAACCTGTCATTCTCAGGATGAGACACAGCCTAGAACTTCCTGAGGAGCAGGGGCCATAGTTTACCCAAATGGGAGTCTTGCCCTCAGGAAAAGCCAGGTGAGTCCTGGAGAGACTGTGCTCCCACTGGCCCAGCAGAGAGTCTTCAAGGCCCTTCAGGAGGGGAGCCCTCACACGTGTCTCCCCTGAGGCTCCTTCCTGCTTAAATGCACCCTCTCATAAACCATTAGCTCCCACAGCTCTGCTGTCTCTCAGTGGGTGAGACTCCAGGTGATAGACGTGGGTGGGAACAGCAGATGACTAGGGGTTTGAACCATCAGTTCCAGCTAAGAGGTTTGGGGGTCTCCACCCACAGGGCCCACCCCTAGCTGCCAGGGATGAAAATAAGTCTACCAAGACATAATGTGCTTGGGGAGAAAAGGTGGCCAATGTCTCAAAGGAGAAGGGCCAGGAGCCTGTTCCTCAATGGGCTTCAACTGGGTTCAATTTGCATGGGAATCCTGGGCCTATAGGTAAAGCTCATCAATCATTTTCAGGCAGTAACCATCAAACCATAGATAATATTCAAAGAACTCTGAGGGCTTATTTTGAGTCATGGTCAGATAGTTAAAGGGCCACAAAAGGCCTGGGAATCAAACTCATTTCCTGCTTGGATCTTTATCATTTAAATTGAGAATATTGACAAAGTAGGTTTCACAGGATTTCATGCATTCTTTGTTAGGCCTGATTGCCCCAGGGAACTGCCTGTTCCTGCCCAGGGCTTCACAACCCTTTGTCATTGTTTCAGGCTTAAGTCAGGCAAGGCAAGTAAGGCAGCCAAGGCATTAGGGGACTTCTTGACAGAATGAGGACTCAGGCTATGTCAAAGCCAAGGGGCGAGGGGCTTTTTCTATAGCCCCCCAAGTGCTTCCCTTAGGGCCCCTTTGTGACCATGCCTGTCTTAGGTTGTCCCCCCATTGAGGAACATTACTTGTCATTGGCTAACCAGTCAACTGCCTGGAGACAAGCAGGGTGAAGTAAAATGGGGATGAGGCAGCACCCCTGCCAGGAAGAAAGCTTTGTCTCCTTAGTGGTTTATGGTCACAAGGCCTTTTTACTCAGCCTTAGCCTTGGGGGGTACAGTTTCTGAAACCAGGCAGGGGGTTCTCAACAAAGAGCGTCACAGGTTGGCATGTGGAATGTGGACAGGTCACATTTCCTTTCTTAGGCAGACTTTCTGCCTCTGTTTCACAAAATGAGGTAAGTATTATTCCACAAAGTATTTGTGAGGCTCACCATACCATGATGAATGGGTCACAAAATACAGACGTAATTACTATTATTCACCTTTTGCAACTTGGGACTGTACCCTTGCAAGATCACTGAAAGCAAAGAGCATGGATGTACATTTCCCCCTCATTGTGGGTCCTTACAAGGCTAAACTTTCCTGGAAACTCACAAAACAGAAATGTTTTCTGACTGAGTGTCAAGGGGGGAACCCTGGTAACTCCCATGTCTTAGAGACAGTGTTGTCTACTTGTTGGGCTGGGGATCCCTGGAGCCCCGGGTGAGTGAGTGAGACCCGGGATGGAGGAGGCTGGGATGCTGCCCAAGGACCCAGCAGGACCAGGCTTGCCAGGGGAAATGGGTCTCTCTGCTGTCTGTGGCTGGCTCTTCTGTGGGCAGCAGGAAAGGGCAGGAGCAGCTAACACCCTGGCTTGGGCTTGCTGTGCAGTTGCTCTGAGGATGGTCTTTTATTTTAGCCCACATGGGAGATTGAAGGCTTGGTTCCAAAGCAGAAAGGTTTGAAAGAAACAGGAATACACAGAACCACCTCCAGACAACTTCAGAGCAGTGATCCTCAGGAATCTCAGGAGTGAAGGATTCAGAAACTGGGATGGCAGAGCTGATGGGGGCTCAGTGCACAACCTTCACTGACAATCTGCTCCTGGAGGTGTGTCCCCCACTGTCTTCTCGTGTCACTCTTTGCTGTGAGAAAGTCTGGTGTCAGTGAGCTTGTTATTATAGTAATTTGCATTTTTCATAGAAAATAATGTTAGGACTTTTTCTTTGGGACCCCTGGCCAGTGCTTCTTGATTTTTTTTTAATGGAAATTCACACAATATAATGTTAACCATTTTAATGTGTACCATTTGGTGTAAAATAGGATTTTTTCATTTTAATTCATCCTTTGTTTGCTTCATCGACCACAAGGACAAAATACAGATTTCATGTTTACATACATGCCCCTGTCACTTACCTGGTCTTCCTCATCTCTGCAAAATGTTTGCTTTTGTTCTCTGGAGCTGTTACTAAATGTCATGCTCACTTCTTTCCTTCTGATGCCGTAGATACAACACTGGCCCTCCTCACTCTAGTCCCCAAGTGCCTTCATTCCCCACTGCAGGTCTCTCTAAGCTGCATCCTGGAAATTTCCTCAACATTGTACTCTGCTGTCATAATTGGACCTTCAGCTGTGTCTCAACCTTGATGGAAAGAATTTTAATGTGTCCATTCTATCAGATTGTTCAACTCTCAGAATTCTAATCAAAACATTCTTTTGTAAAACAATTCATATTCTTGGCTCAAAATTTAAATCTTGTCTTTATTTTCCAGGTATTTAAACATGATAATATTAACTTACTTTCATGTTTCCTTACATGGTTGCCTGTGACTGTCCCTAATATCAGTAGACGGTGTCCATAGTACTGTCTGTCACCATTAGGATTTCTCCACTGTCCACTCTTGTAGGAGGCTTTCCCCTCACATACCTGCTCTCCCACAGTTTCTCAGGGGCCCTCCTGGGAGTCAGGCTGATCAGGGCCTGTGGCAGCTGCCCCTGCCCCATGCTGACCATTCTCTCAGACTCATCACTTCCTCAGTATTGTGCCCACCAGGGCTGATTATGGGAGCCTCACACACACACACACACATGGGACAGACACCCATGCCTGACATACTGGACTCAGTTTGTTTCAGGACACACAGGGGAGACTGCTCACTGCTGACCATGAACTTGGGTGAGTGGGCAGAGACATCCAAGACCCTGCACAGAAACACAGAGCAGACATCACACTTCCAGCCTTGACCTGCTCCCTGACCCCATTCCTGTGAGGACCTGGGTCCCTCTCTGTCCACATAGGGGGAGGGAAACATGTCCCTATGGCCCATGGACAGTCTGGAGCACTATGGCCACTCAGTTTCGATCTCTGTTCTCCAATGTCATTCCTTTTCTATTTGGGAACTTTCATTTCTCTTTCATGCATGTGTCTGTGTCTACACACTTTAGAGCTGTTGTGAGCAGCTATGCTTGGCATTCAGAGCAGACAAGGTATTGAGTGGGTGCTACAGTCCTGCCCTTGACTCTGGACACCTTGATCCTCTCATGTCCCAGCACACTCATGTCTTCATCTGGTCTGGAGATGGAAGTCTCCTTCCCATGAACAAGTACCACTGACCCACAGCCACTGTGGGGACTGGGCTTTGACAGAACAGCATCCAAATGAG